AGGGGCCCAAAAAACACATGAACACCAATGTTTTCCTAACTAGGCTTTGGCCTCAACCATCCGGCAGAACGTTAATACATGAAACGCATATCCCAATACTCCACCTATGCATGTCACCCATGCAAGAGCATGGATTCTTCTGTACAAATTGATCTGTGCCGCTTTAGACACAGTTTCTCTCATCAAGAGAAATATACTTATTATTATTATTATTATTATCGTTGTTATTATTATTAACTACCAACAATCTTCAGAAAATAAATTTCGACGTCCCGTAACACATTAATCCCAACGGACTGCAAGATTAATGACAACAAGTGTACCACCGCGGTCCTGGCAAAGAAAATAACAGCCTAACCTAACCAAACCGTTACTATTATCTTTAGCTCAATGGAAGACGATGGCAACAGCGTAGACAGTTCACGGCATCGTGGACAACAGTTTATGATACTTTGTTGAGCGCGGTTTGTAGCATAGCCTGAAGCAATGCGTGCACGGTTGTCGGAACCACCAAATAGGAGTTCTGCAAGGGTCCACTACATTTCATTCCGCTCTGCGCTCTGACACACCGCGTCCATTGCTTCTCCTGGCTCACTACCAGATACGATGGGACCCCGTTCGACCACAAAGATTTGTAGCGAAGTGTGAGACACAGGGTGTCAGTCGAAAGAAACATACCTGCGCTCATGGTAACTAGACAGTACAATCACCTGCACTCAAAAATAAGTCTCACTTTAACGTCATTTCATCGAGCTAGCTTCGTCCTTCAGTCTCACTTCTTCGAGGACAGAATGATTTCATACTGTTTACGCTACTGATTCATCACTTTGATCTTCCGGTGGAAACGTGCACCCAGTTTCGATGATTACGTTTTTTCATGCACACGCGCGACACAGACGACAAGTGTCAGAAGACTTGTGCGAAGCAGAGCTGATGAGCGGTGCAAATTGAAGAGTGGTCGGAATTCCGAATACATGCACTCTTTGGAGACAGTCTGCCGACGGATGTTAGTGTTGACGATGTTTGAATCAGGCTAATTGGTGTCAATACTGTATTACCTCGCATGGCACTTGTGTGGAAATTGTTGTTTCACTGAGTATCTGGCCAACGTTCACAATTCAAATTAGGCAGCGCAGTAACACGGAAAGAAGAGTAGCCGCACTGACTATGCTAACCACAGGCTATTTACTTAACGCCCGTAGTGACAAAATTACTGGCCTCAGTTCTCGTTCGTCGCCTCACTGCGCAACGCGAAATCCGGATTAGGGAAGAGCAGGCAGGTTCCCGCCAAGGACGGGGCTGTATAGATCTTATATTCACTCTGGGGCACGTGCGAGAGCAGCGCCACGCATACCGCATGCCGACAATAGCTGTGTTTCTGGACTATGTCAACCGATGCATTCTATTCGAAATACTTGCGTAGGACGGTGTTTTACGCTCCCTGTCCTCGAACAACATAGGGCGCGTCTGGGTCTGCGGTGAATTGTCGGTTGTCTTTCCGACTACAAATGGCGTTCGTCAGAATTGTCCAATTTCCCCGTTATTTGTTCAACTTCGTCGTGGATTCCTTGCGGAATATCACGATGCAGGTATTGAGGTGTTGCCTGATGAGAAGTGGATTGATCTTGATGATACGGGTTATATTGTATTGCTATTTAACGATGTTGGGGCGGTTTCATTATTTGGCATGCGGTTCGCACCTTCAAAGTGCAGTGTTGTTGCAGGACCACCAGCGAGGGACTCGAGGTAGTTGATCACTTCACTTACCTTGGCAGTTTCATCATCAACGATGCGCGCACAGCACGTAGTACAAAAGCCAGGGCTGTCTTCTTAAGCTTGCGACATCTTTGGTGTCAGAAATGGGTTTCCTTCGATCTGAAAGACCGTATTTACAAGGCCACAGTGAGGGCTGTCCTACGCTATGGGGTCTTAGCTTCTTCGGTCTGAACATCTAAGGCGCCTTCCAGTCTTTTGATGATCGTTATCTGCGAAGCATTGCTTAGTCTAGGATGGCACTAGCGTGTCCGCAACGATGATGTGTGTAGGCGTGTGCTAGGCATTAATAATCAGGCTAATTCCTTAGAACAACAGATAGCACTGAATAAGTTGTTTTGCCTTTTGCACGTACTACATATGCCTGGTCACTGTTTGCCGAGGAGGGCCTTGTTTTGTTCGCCGAATGTAGAGTGGCACAAGGTTCGAGGTGGACAAAAATTAACTTGTCAGTGACAAATGAAGTCACTGCTAATTGACTGGGTGTCGTTTATCTTTCTCGCGTTCGACGCCAGAGTCTACGTGACTCGCGTTGTGCTTGGCTCGAGACTATACAGGGCATGGCTCGCAGTCGGAAGCAGATCATATCAAGTCAGTTCAAATTAGACTTCGTACACCCAAATGCGGGCATCCTCAGCAATTACACACTGACTCCAGCTATTCTGAATGGTGGGACCAGTGAAAAATATATATAAATGCAAATTGAAGCATTAAATAAACTAAGGTGTGTAGCTGTCATTCAAGGGGCTGCACGCGCAAAGCACTTATGACTTTTCTTAGTCGACAAGGAAACGTGACAAATAACACAAGATTGTGTTACGATACGAAGTGCGACAGAACAAAATCCTAGATTTTGAGCGTGTGTGTTTGACGAATAACGTTTGAGAGCGTGCATTGTGTTGCGGATGAAAGCGGTCACTTAGGACCTTAGAAGGAAAATACGTGCAAGCGTCAAAATACTTACAGGCAAGGAAACTAACTAATAAATCTATAGGCTAGATATCACATCTGGAATTCTGTCTAATTGATCACACAATCAAAACCAAGCCCTTCCGCAGTAGTCCATGGAAAATTACTGGGAAACAATACAACCAGTGGGGTAGTATACATGCAATTGCAAACCTCACAATTAAACTTCCCGGTACAGAGAGCATCTTAAGTCGGGTAGCATAAAAAGATAAGCTTGTGACCTTGTGAAATCTTTCCGAAACGTGCGTGCACCAAGAGAGGTTTTGGGATAAATAAACTCTGATATCTTTGGCAGTGGATGAAATAGTAATGGTTTTAGCTTCCAAAGTTAACAGGAGAGGCGATATATACAATTACTCGCAATTCATCAGAGCGGAGAAATGAAAATGTTACATCAGTACATTTCAAATCATTATGGTTGAGGTACCTGGTTTATGATTAAATCACAAGTTCGTTTAAACCACATTGAAGCGGGCTTCTCTTTGGGAGGAGCACTGAACCCTAAGATATCATCGTCAGCATATTTTAATCCATTAAATGTTGATCGCAAGGAGAGACTTTAGATATATACAGAGGATAAAATGGGTGAGAGGATCGCGCACTGCAAAACGCGTTGCAAACATCAGGGTGGATCCTGTTCAAATGAATTAATTTAAACATAACTGATCGGTTAAGACTGCCCAAGGCATTTGGATAGTCATGAAAAGGAAGCCCTACGGACCTTCACATTTTATCCAGCGAAGACGCTAGTGAATGCACTACTTCGGAGACAACATCTAGCGTAGATCACTGGGGTCTAAATGCGGACTGGTAGACATCATCAACATGAGTAGCTGTGGAGATCCTCGGAACTGGTAGCTTTTCGAGGAATTTTAACATCACGGAAGTACAAGCAATTGACTGATACTTTTGTGCTTCCTTTTTAGGAACTTTCGTTATTCCAGCTGACCTTCAGATGTCGGGGATGGCACCGGTCTTGAGACCCTTGTTAAAATATCAGTCAGGGCTAAAATGAGGGAATCGGCGCACTGCTTCAAAGCCACGAGTAATAAGCCATCAGGGCCACAAGCTTTATCTGACTTTAGTTTTTTAACTTCCGTGTTGACGTTACCTTGATCAAATAGGGCGGCAAGGGAAGGAGAGGAGGAGGACGGAGAGGACCTAAACTCAGAGTTGAGTTTGTCAACATCCACTATTCCAGTACATCCGATATTACTTTTACCAAAAATCACTTCAACAGGCTCCAGAGGTCCCGGCAGCTACAGTTTCCCAGCACCGTGTCTATGTACAAACTGTTAAGCCTTTTTCAGCTTTAATTGCCTAGGTCAGGCTTTTGACGCGGGTGGTCATTTTGAACGTGTAAGCTCGTTCTTTTTTCCTTCGCAATTGTTTCAGTAGGGGTGAAGCAAATCTGTCTGCTCGCAGATAGATCGTCTGGATAGGACAGCATACGGGGAAGCAAAAGTCTACGTAACTCGTGTGGTGATCGCAATGAAGTAAAAACTGAAAAGCCGGCGTATCTGTGGTCGCTTCTAAGTCGAACTGGTTGTTTGTGATGTATTTAGTGCTGAGTTATTTGTGAAGCAATGGCTGGTTATGACGCGGGACAGTGAAATCCGCAAGGAAGCTGTCTCGCTGATGCCACCTTATGTTTGTACTACAGCCAGCTGTTCTTGACAGTATGTTATTGACAAGCTGTGGGCGCCTTGATCTTGTATCTTTGCTTGGGGCATTACGGTTTTACTCCAGGCCCCCTTCTCTCCTTATTATTAATCTTCATTTCTTAGATCACGGTGGTTGTATAACAGCGAAACATCGTTTCAAATGGGTAATGTAACGCTGTTGATGATAATGATTATGGATATGAGGCCAACGTGCATTGAACACCAGTGCATTCTCATCAGATGCGATATCGCCAATATCGTGATGGTATAAAGTAGAGTATTTTTGTGTTTTGCTTTGAGAAGAGATAGTCCAGTCTTAGTCAAATGTGATTTCGTAGTTTCACTTGTTGATATGGGAGGTGTAGGAGTGACTGATGTGTGCGATTTTTACCCGAAAATACACGCTCGTTGATACTTTTATCTTCAGTAGACTGACATCTGGGATTTGTGCACCTTCATCATACACCTCTTGACTCTCTTAATTTGACCAGATTCATCATACTTTTATTTTGCCTTTACGCACTTGAGCTATTTCACAGCCCCATAAAGACTGAATTTGTGGCTTCTATTTCCTACATTCCAACACCTTTATAGGTTCCAACTATCGAGGACACTTACAATGCGGTAGTGGAGACTGACCGTGGGACAAGAGAAAGAATGCGCATCTATGATTTGGGTGGCAAGTCCAAAATCGAGCGTCATTTTATCAACAATGCTGATGCATTCATCTTGGTTTATGACGTCACGGATGCACGAACTTTGACAGCCGTCAAACTGTTGAAGCGTCAGGTGTGGACAAATTATATTTTGCTCATTTCTCTGTGACCTCAGCTTGATGAGTGTAGAGGGAAACGAGAAGCCATGTTTGTTCTTTGCGGTAACAAGGTGGATCGACCACGTGATCCTTCAATCGATACGGCTGAACTTAACAAATGGGCTCAGTCCGAACGCAGTAAGTTTTTAGCGTCATACTGCGCGCGCATACAGTTTGTCCAGATTGACTCCATTCCCGAATGCACTTGCTCATGTGGGATATTTTTCATTTTGCTTCATGATCACCTTAGGTCTATGGCCGCTGAATTTATATTGTTTGTTGTCGTCAATCGAACTTGCCAACTCAGCCAATGCGTTGAGGTATTATTGGGATACGTTGTTAGCTTTATTATGCGATGCGTGTTACCCTTCTCCTATTCCACCCCATCTTTCAAGGGCCATATTTCGTACCATCGGAGATTTTTGCTATGTTATCTTTCACCACTTGCCTCCACTCTAATCACGGACTCCTTAACTCAAGGGAGACGCAGTTAACCAGTGCTACTGTGTGGTTCTCATACAACCACACGCTGGTCTACACAGCCTAAGATACTGCGAAGGCGCCCATGCAGGCATCATGATACCCATCGTATTTAATCAGCGGTGCTTGCTGGGCTTTGCTCATATCTGCCTGGGGCACCGATGGGACAATGCTAATTCATCCTGCTAGCGTATCACAGCAGGCCTCGTGAAGCAGATCTGGACCGCCTTTTGAACATGGTCCACCCATTCTGACTAAACAACCTTCTCCGGATACCTGGTGACCGGTTATGTTGGTGCGTATTCTTTGCAACTCCTGAATCGAGGTCATGTGGTAAAAACTTGTCGTAACGCTGACCTGTTTTCGCTCACTGTCTTGTGCGACGTCCAACCTGGCTGGGGAAAATCAGAAGCGCATTTCTCAAATCAGAGTATTTATTACAGTCAATCATGGCTATATTATTAGGTCAAACATACCCTCATACCGACATTTTGGTGATAATCTTCGCGTGGTAGTTGACGCCGAAAAGGTTTTTTCCCACTTTGCGGCTCAGCTGTCTTGGCCAGACTCACACAACGCCCACGCGTATGACTGGGTTTTTGGTTCGACCACCAACGTGGGCCGACTTGTTTTGCAAGCCCTTCCGTAGCGCCGAGAAAGCGCATCCCAGCATCAGGCTGCTTTGCCTCTCCAATAAAAGTATGTGCTGATGGACCCAGCAGCCCTTCCATTTGGTTGCATAGCGTCTCTCCTCTGTTTAAGCTTCGCGCTTCGCGGGTTGCATTTTTTAAGCCGGCCGTCATTTAAACTTGCATGTGTTGTGTATGAAGTGTCCCCCATCATCACATTCATTTTCTCTATCCTAATTTTGCAGCTTTTTTGTGCGAGACAACGGTCCACGATCGACAAGCACTGTGTAGTGTTTTCACTTGGATTGTCTCTCGAATTACACAGTCCCAAGGTGAGGTTTTTGCGTTGTCTTTTTTGTGGCTTACTAACACCCTAGTCCGTTCCACTTTTTCCAAGCTACATTTAAGATTTCAACATACTGTACGACGTCATAACTTACACGTATTCTCTAAACTATTTTTACCGCATTCAGCGCTTTTGTACCGTGAAATTCTTGTTAACGTTCACTGCTTGGTACCGTACTCTTTTTAGTGCCTCAATCCAATCGGGAAAAGGAAAGCAGATGTCATGTCTCAACTGATTGTTGCGTTCTAAGGACTGCAAAACTATGTTGCTTATAAATCAAACACCCTGGTAGCAAGTCTTGGTCTTGACTTGTCCGATTGTCTATTACGTGGCAGATTGGCAATTACTCGCAACATATTTGATCGTTGTTCACCTCTGCCACATTATCGTGGTGCATTGTAATTGGCTATCTGCTCGCATAGCCAGACGTAGACTCGTCTACGCTGATAATGACCGACTGATTTCGTTAGCTTCTCATGTGGCCAGTTACAGGCGCGCTCAGCGTCGACCAGGAAGTCGAGAGTGTCTAACTTAGGTCAACTTCGAGATGAGAACATGTACTCTTCTTGGATGGGTTAGTCGTTAGCCTCTCTCCCTCTTCGTCATCCGCGTAGGGGTGGGCGTCCTCACGGTATACTCAGCCCACGCGCGACTGGTGGTGGTCGCGCGGCAGCGAAGCGCCGTTACAGCGTACAGCTGACACTCCCTCTTCATCCAACCAGACTGCTCGCACAAACAACGTCCGTCGCGAGAGTCGGTGTACTGGCTTACATAACACGCGGCGGCACATCCGAGCCTGGTGCTGAGTGGTCAACTTGCTTTTTATGTACCGTGGACAAAACAGTTAGTAGGCTGGTCGCTCAGTTTGTAGCCCCACCGAAGGTGGGCTAAGTTGCGAAGACACTGGTGCTCGAATGCTATCAGCCTCCTAACTTGTGTCGATCTGATGGACTAGATTTCGCAACCTTGCAGGAGAGTCGAATAAATGGCTGCATTATAGACTATCCCTCATAAGCCGCGAAGATTTGCAATAACATCATAGGCTTCTGCTACATAGTTTATGGCCCCATTTACACCATAAGCGCCGATAGAGCTCCTTAGTTGACTTTCTTAAGGACTTCTACCAATGATTATCGCAGGGTTTCGTCCCTACGGATCCTGAGGAGACGTTATCTACTGTATCGGCGCAAAGCACAACGCTAAAAGATTGACGGTCTGTGCTAATCTGTTTAGAGCTGTTAAGCATGTTTGTGAGCTGTCATAGATAGAAACGATATCGTCGGCGTATAGAGTTCGACCCTGAGAAATTCCACAGATTGCACGAGACCCATTGACTAGACTCTCTGGCTTCGCCGGATGGCAAGAGTTTGTGTTCCCAGCGTTGTCACCCACCACCATCATCATCATCAACAGCAGTACATCAGTCATTTGAACCGATTATTCACTGTCACACAACCACGAGGACCTATGAAATAAAGAATAATAAGTGGGAGAGAAGGGGGACTTACCTGAAAACCTTAATGCCCTAAGCAAACATTCAGGGTCAAGGCGCCTACACCTTGTGTAGACAACATACCGTCACAAACAGCTGGCTATCGTGCAAAGATAAGGCGGCATCGGCGAGACAGCTTCCTTGCGGCTTTCACTGCCACGCGTCATAATCAGCCATTACTAAGCAGATAACTCAGTACCAAACACACTTTAAACAGGCAATCCAATTAGGAGACGGCAGCAGACGCGCCACTGGTGTCGGTTGCGAGCCATGTCCTGTAAAGTCTCGAGCCAAGCACAAGGTGAGTCACGTGGACTCCAGCCCGGAAGGCGAGACAGACCAATCGCACCCAGTTTGGTTGTCAAGGTCTTCATTTACCGTTGCCAAGTCAACTTCTGTCCACCTCGAGCCTTGCGCCACCCTACACCTGGTAGACTGAACAAGGCCCTCCTAGGTAAGCGGTGACCAGGCATACGTAGCACGTGCCCGAACCAACGCAACTTATGCAGTGCTATCTGTTGTTCTACGGAGCTAGCATGATTATCACTACCTAGTAATCGTCCATGCACATCATCGTTGCGGACACGCTGGTGTCATCCGACACCAGCAATGCTTCGCAGACAACGATGATCAAAGACTTGAAGGCGCCTCAGATCTTCAGACCGAAGGGGCCAGGTCTCAATATTCTAGAGCAGAACGGCCTTGACCGTGGTCTTGTATACACGGTCTTTCAGAAGAAGGGAAACTCCCTTCTGTCGCCATAGATGCCGCAGATTCAAGAAGACAGCTCTGGCCTTTGCAATGCGTGGGCTGACGTCAGTTTCTATGCGCCCATCATTGCTGATGCAGCTGCCAAGATAAGTGAAATGATCAACCACCTCGAGTTCTTTGTTAGCAAAGGTCAAGGGGTCATAAAATGGCTGGTGGTCGTGCTGGAACAATTTGCACTTTGAAGGTGCGAAGTGCATACCAAATAATTGGACCACTACAAAGAAGCTATTCATAGTTGAATGGGCCGCAGTAAGATTGTCGAAAACCAAGACGATATCGTCCTCATAATCAAGATCCACTAATCTTTCACCAGGCAGCACTTCAACGCCTATATCGTGAGATTCCGCAAGGAAACATTCCATGATAACATCCACGATGCAATTGAACAAAGACGGAGAAATCGGACAACCCTGACGAACGCCACTTGTGTTCGGAAAGCTATTCGAAAGGCTACCGTAGTGCCTGACGCGGCCTGTAGTGTTCGAGTATAGAGCATGAACGATGTTTCCATATTTCACGGGAACACCTTTCCGCGCAAGTATTTCGAACAGAATCGATCAATCGACTGAATCGAACGCACTCTTGAAATCGAGGAACGCAGCTATTGTCGGTCTGCGGTTGTCATTTGGGTCCACCGAAATGCACCCGGCAGTCAGCACATACAACTGAATGGTCGGAGTCCACGCTTGTGCTCCAAATCCACTAACAGTAACGCTCGCGACTTAAGCAGTTTGTCTCAAGGCTTGGTCTGAGGATGCTTGACTCCATGTAACTGTGACGGATGCTGTGTCGGAAGTTAGTGCTCACGAGAAATAGCCGACCATCTCCAAACAAGTGAATCATCTGCTCATCGTTATCATTATGCGAGACTGCGTCGTTTTGGTCGGTCAGATTTTGCTCATCTTTCTACAGTTTTTTAACTTTAGCGTTTAATCATCAACTTTCATTACAATGTCTATATTTCTTTTTGGACAAAGAACCTCGTTCAGTTGAATACATAAGTTATTTTTCGCCTTGTAAGCAATGGCAAACAAGTGCTGATTGCCCCCACGAGAATTTGTGGTTTTGCTGGGGCCGGCCAATCTGAAGGCGCACTTCGCAGTTGACCGAAATCTAGTCCATCAGATCAACTTTAATCTGGGGGCTCAGAGCAACGCCCACACTAGCTTCTTCAATCTCTTGTGTCACGGGCGAAACGTAGACATACTACAAACGTTCACATAACCGTTTTGTTTTATAAAATCTTCCGAGATTGCGAATTCCAAGTCGGTTCCAAATTTTGCCTGTGCCTCGCATTATCAAGGAATATACCATCTGTTTGTTTATTGAAGCCTTCTGGTGCCTCACTGGTGTTTGTTTTATCGCAATCACTTACATTGGCAAAGCCACGTCCACCGTACGCTCGTTGACCACCTCTAGCGTGTATTCAAAAGTAGTAGTAGTAGTAGTAGTACTTGTTGTTGTTGTTGTTGTTGTTGTTGTTGTTGTTGTTGTTGTTGTTGTTGTCTCAGCAGCATAGCAACTAGACAGAGCCAACAAAGCCATAGAGACTAGCAGATAAGGGGAAGTCATTGCGTTATAATCATCATGGCATTTTAGTTGAATGTGAGCAACACACTTCAGTTAATTTGCCGCAGGAAGAAGGGAACATTTTGACTAAATGTAGAACAAACATTTTTAGTTTGTTTTTCACACGCCGCTTTTGTTCTTTTTTGTCATTTTAATGTTTGTAGAATTAAACATGTGAATCAATACAATAATGTACACAATACTTCCACCGATTCCGGTTGCGGGCCATCTCTTCAAGCGTGCTTAGTCATGAACACTCCTCATCCTTGGATGCCCATCCTGGAAGACGTACGGATCCAACGGCGGCTAGACGTGACTTGAGCAATTACCTGTGCCGTCGCCAAGTGGAAGGATGACCACCACGCGATCGCTTCCAGCCAGGTCCTTGACGAGGGAATAGAGCGCGACGCGGTCGACGCTCAGATGCCATGCGTAGGACGTGACCGAGCCATTTTATCTGGCGCAACAAAACCAGTTTGTTGAAGGGAATACTCGCATTCCCCAAGATGCGACGTCGAACGTCATTACTATCAACTCGATGTTGCCACCTAACACGAGCGATCCTCTTCAATCAACCGTTATCCAACGCAGAAAGACGACGCATGTCTTTCACGCGAATCGGCTAGGACTCGCACCCATACAACAATACTGAGCGAACAGATGCGCTGTAAACGCAGCCCTGTAGTGAGAATGAGACGTCGCGACGACGCCACAAGTGCCTCAGATTGACAAATGCTGCTCGAGCTTTAGCGATACGAAGAGAAACTTCTTTGTTGGTAGTGCCGTCAGCAGAAACACAGATCCCAAGGTAGACGAAACTATCTACCTGTTCAAATTATGCACCTTCGAGTGTGAGCACGGGAGCAGGGAGAAGCCCATCCTTGAGCAGTACTTTACACTTCGATGGGGCGAAACTCATGCCATGCTTCGACGCCTCAACCGCCAAACGATCCAGAATGAGTTGCGTACTCTGAGGATCGTCACCAAGTAAGGCGATATCATCAGCATACTCTAAGTCGGTCGCGCGCTCACCCGGTAGAAGCTCTAGGCCAAAATGTTGGAAACCTTCTAGAGCATTCGACAGAACTTCTTCGATTGCGAAGTTGAAGATGAATGGTGACATAGGGCAGCCCTGTCGCACACCGCTATTGACAGCGAATTGCGAGGAAAGCTTACCATAGACCCACACTGTGCCGGATGTATGAAGGTAAAGTGCTCGTAAGATGGCGGTATATTTCTTTGGCACCCCGTTCTTTAGTAAGCAACACCATAAAGTAGGTCGATCAACGGAGTCAAAGGCGGCACGTATGTCTAGGAATGCAACGATAGTGGGCCTGTGATAAATGTGGCGAAGTTCGAGGAGCTGGCGGAGCGTGAAGATTTAATCCGCGCATCCGCGGCCAGGACGGAAACCAGCTTGTTCTTCACGGCAGTATGATTCACGTACTGGTGATAGTCTGCGAAGCAGAATAGATGCCAATAGCTTAGAGGCAACCGAAATAAGACTAATCCCGCGATAATTTGCACATGAAGTGCGAGCGTCTTTCTTGGAAATCCGACAATAACTGATTCGCCCCAAGAGGAAGGCACTTTCTCTTCATGCCAAATTTTTGCGAACAGCGCGGTCAGCTGGTTAATGATCGCCACATCGCCGTACTTGAATAGTTCCGGAGGAAGTCCGCCTAAGCCGGCAGTCTTGAAGCGCTTCAAGCGTCAAATGTCGAGGCAGACTTCCGCTTCGCTGGGTGGATTCAGTGGGACGAGCCAGGGTGGACAACAAGGTGTACTGCATGTACTGATGAATGCTGGAGGCCAGTTGAAATGCGAGTGAAAGTGCTCGGCCCAGTGGTCCATACGCCTCTGTTGGTTAGCGATCAGAGACTCATACACCTCACAAATGGCCTCACTGACACCAGGCTTCCTGAGGCCAGTGGACCGGATGAGTTTGAAAAGCCTGCGAGTGTTGCCAGAGAGGGCAGCGGTTTCCATCTTTAAAGCACGCTCAGACCACCATGTCTCGCGATCCTTGCGTAAGCTTTGCTTCAGCAGCCGGTTGGCTGAACGGCGCCGCTCGTTGCAATCTGATTCCGCTGGGATATATTTGCGCCGTTCGAACAGCTGCAGAGAACGAGCAGATCCAAGCTTCAGGGGGCGTCGAGTTAGGCCGCAGCATGACTGTCCGGAAATGGTCATCGCCTTCCGTATACATGTCCAGTGTTGTTCCACTTCTTGCGGTGGATTGCAACTGAGTGCATATGCCAGTGAAGACTGATAACTCGCCTGGACAGAGGAATCAGTTAATCTGTTTACATCAATCTAGCGGTGCTTCGTGTTTCGGCATCCTCCAAAGCACATACAGATTTCGCGCAGACCAGAGCATGATCTGAGTCAACGAAGGTGGGTCAAAAGGACCTGCAGTCCAGTACGCTGCCGGGCCATCTGAAGCTAATTGCAATGTGATCAATTTGAGACCACGGATGTGTTGGCGAATGGCGACGCCACGTTGCGGGACGCTTCTTCGTACGCCTGAAGTTAGTGCTTGAGAGAAACAGATGGTTGTCTTCGCACAATATGAGAAGTCTCTCTCCGTTATCAGAGCGGTACTCATCGAGCGCGTGATGACCACCAAGGTGGCGTTCGTATGGTAACAGGCGGCCAACTCGTGCATTAAAATCCCCAGCAAGGATAACGACATCCGACTTTTTAGCATTAGTCAAGAGCTGTTGTAGTCGCCACTGCAGATAGTTGGAGCATACACGTTGCCTGTTGATTCTACATGAACCCCGAAGCCGAACCGCACATAGTCGGCTGTTAATCGGGAACCAGTCCAGTAGTGCCGCCTCGGCCTTGCCACTTAGTGATATACCTACACCAGGCAAACCCGCTGATTCTGCTTCTGGATCTCCAGGAAGACGCAGGTGATATCTGGCTTCATGGTCAGTGGGGCATGTCAATGTAAGCACAGTGCTTGGATCTTGCAATCGGGTTTCTAAAAGGTAGCAGACATCAATGTCTAGGGAATCTAGGGTGCGCGCTAGACCGACTTGCTGTCCATTCTGCATGAGTTTCCGAACGTTGGAGCACGCCAGACCGAACGAGGATCGGGGACGAAGGAGAGCCATAGGTTGAACCACTTGGTCTGCGGCGCAACCGGAATCGAAGCCAGATTGTTGAACACATGAATCGGGTAACGGAAAGTGAGGATTGTTAACAAACAAACAATTGGCATGTGAGGAAGTCGCGTGAAAGTGACTAGCAGAAACAATAGCTGATGAACACATTGTAATACAGTCCACTCTTCGAGCCTAGCAGGGCCACATAGACCATGCACCCCATCCCCTCCAGCAACGACCAACTGTCTCCTGGAGCCAGTATGGACGAGGTAGTGGGTAATAGACAGGTAAGCACCTTGTCAATATGCACATCAAGCGCAGCCACACCGGAGATATCAAACGACTGCCAATGACTTGAAATAACATTATCAAAAAGTGTATCTTTTGACACATACTTTGTTACTAACTAGCGTATTGCGGCTTTTTTGCATTCTCTAAAGTTCAGTATCTTCCTTTTTCATATGTCTTTTCTTTTTGTATTACGGCGCAATAACTGTAGTGTATTTCTCACCTTCAACTAATGTGTAATGAGCTTACCGTTAACGACAACTTAACCACAGTTTCTGACCTAAAGTATGGCATTTCCACCGTTTCTTGCTAGATTTCGTGCTTGTTGCTACAGTCGCACTTTTCATATGTCCAGTTCCACCAAGTAAGCTGCGCACCCATGTCAATCTTGCCGCTACTGTTTAGAGTGACTAACTGATTTTACCTGCTGCATTCCTTTCATTGGCATCCCTGCGAGGACGGATAATAATAATAAAATAATAATGTCAGCTGTACGCCGTAACGGCGCTTCGCTGCCTTGCGACCACGACCAGTCGCACGCGGGCTGGGTATACCGCGAGGATGCCCACCCCTAAGCAGATTCGATCTCGTGCCACAAGATTGCAACACAAGCTCGTAACCTCTAGCCTACAGGCCGATAGAATGTCGGATTTGTGAAACTGTATGCCGGCCTCACACTTCACGCCACCTCAATTAAGCAAACACTGCCCTTGTTCCACTTGATTTTGCCAGTGCGCATTCAGTGTGATCTGTCGTTATGTAGTCTTGCTCCGGGGAGAGCAGTTTCACTGTCCCGGTTTCTGATGTACATATGCATTTCATCTGGCTGTTGTCACTAGTCAGCGTTTCTTCTCCTATCATCTTTATGCTTGTCCTTATATGTACTTCTGCACTATATTACCCTCTTTTTCTCTTCTCTTTATTTATTTCAGGGAAAAGCGGATTCTCGTTCGGGAAGAAAGATACCCGCTGTTATATCGGTGTCGGTGGGCCCTCGAGACCCGATGCCGATTGATTTCCACCTATCTGCTCGTTCGTCCAATTCTCGTTTAATTGTCCATGCACATGTCTCTGCTGTGATACTTTCCTTCTTTGTGCTTACATATATCTGTTGCACGTTTTGACTTCTGCACTTTAAATAAACAGCATTTCTCCTGCTGCTCCTTTCTGTATCCTCCGTACTGTATAGCAGTCCAGATTCTTTTCCTCCCATCGCACCACTTCTTTCTTAGCTTTACCGGCGCTCATTCGCAACAGATCCCCAAATCAAAATGACTGCCTCTCCAATACCCACACAGCTTCGTCGCATTTGCATGGTCTCGCTGTAGTTTTATCACCATTTCACTTCTAGCCCTCTTCCGTCGAACAATTTTTTCCACTCCTTTTAATCCTTCACGGAGTTGCGTTTTGCGCTCGCAAGTGCTTTTCCGGTAGAGAGTGTCTCATTTGTACATCGTTACTCCACTGTTCATTGCCTATGCATCCCACCGAACTGCATCGGCCTGTTAATCTGTCACTTTTATCAGTGAAATCTTTCTGTCGTTCATTTTATATTCCGCTTGATCTTTGCACAAATCTGTTAACTCTTTTGTCCGCTGAATGCTCCCAGTCGTTCCAATCTCTCCTCCTTGGGGATATTGCGCATTCCAATGACGTACGTGGGTGCCAAACCTTGAAGCTGCTCAAGTGCATTATGGACTTGTTTCGGCCATGCATGCCAGGCTTGAATTGTGTATTCGACATGGGAGTGAGCATACGCACTGAACATCTATAGCAGACTATGGATCACTATGTGTCTGGACGCCTGTGGCAACAGCCCAACATGTTGGTTGCTAACTTTCAAGGCGTTTTTACATTGCCTGGAGCAACCTAGGTCATCTTGAACAAGCATACCCAGAACGCGTTCGACGGAAGTTGGTTGCAGTATATGCGTTAAAAGCCTGTATGAGTAGCTGGTATCGTATCTTCTAGAGAGTACCTTGCGTTTACTCACGTTGAAATGCAGTAATTTTCAGATTGCCCACCGAGGTACCTTGTCTAGGTCACTCTGAAGAAGATCCTGGTCGGCATTCACCTGAAACCTGCACCCAATCTTGATATCGTCGGCAAACATTAGGAAGTTTGCAGCGATTGTCTGTGCGAGGTCATTAATAAACATTAAAAACAGACCTGGAACTGAGCCTTGTGGCACACCACGATCGGTTTGTATGGGTCCGATAAAACGCCACAAACTGACCACTAATTGCCGTTGAAGTAAAAATTAAGCAATCCAGCTTAAAAGTGGGTCATCGATCTCGCAACGCTGAACCTTGGAAAGTAACATCCGATGGTCTAGACGATCGAAAGCCTTCGAAAAATCCAGGTAGCTCACACCAACCTCTTCTCCAGCGTCAGCTGACTGGATCTAACTACTCCGTGCGGTTAGTACATTCATTGTGCACGATCGCTGTTGCTAGGCGCCGTGCTACTCGGGAGTAATAATGCTACAGTTTTCCAGATTGCACGCCAGCGTATCAGCAATGATGGATCCCACGACATTGGACAGTATAGGGAGAAGAGATACTTTGTGGTAGTTTAAAGGCTCAGTTCTGCTTCCGCCTTCGTGAATCTGAGTTATTGTTCCAAGCCTCCACATAGCAGGAATAAATAAAATAAATCGCCAGCTGTACGCCGTAACTGCGCTTCACTATCACGTGACCAACATCAGTCGTGCGCGGGCTGAATATATCACGAGAACGCTTACCCCTGCGCGGGTTCGAACCGGTGACCTTAAAGTTGCGCGTAGATCACTCGGCCACCGGCAGGAAACTGCTTCTGGTCTAAGCAGCGCTGGAAAAAACAGCTAAACTTTCTGCTAATTGTCTTGCTGCTGCTCCCATTGCCTCTGGATTAGTGATGTGGACATCTAGAAGCTGTGGTTGTGCAGAAACGTCAGCGTTTGCAAGACAACTTCAGTGCTAAAAGTGATATGTGTGAGTGCTGGTGCCTGGGAGACAAAAGCTAGCAGATCGCTTAATAGCAAGACTGGAACGTAAGGGCATATTGCATCCGCAGCGCGTTCGCTGCTTCTATATTCATTCTCGTTGGGTCGTCAGGCGTCCTGAGCGGAGGAAATCCTTGCTTCACCTTTCTTAAACCATTGAGGGGCTTGTACAGTAGTTTGTGGCCAGCAATGAAGGTTTCTACCATTTTCTGCTGATATGCGACTTCATCTTCGCTAAGCAGTTGCGTGCAGTGGCTAGGTTGAACTGTGTAGTTATCCTAAGTTTCTGGCGTTGGAGCCACTCTATACGCCCACCATGCTATGTGACGTAAATACAAATAATAATGTGTCAGCCGTACGCCGCAACAGCGTCTCGCTGCTGTGCGACCACCACGAGTCGCACGCAGGCTGAGTCCACCGCGAGGACACCTACCCCTACGCGGATTCGAACTAGCGCCGCAAGCTTACGAGACAAGCTCGTTACCACTAGGCTACGGGCCTGCTGTGTTACATACTAACATTCATTTTCGAGTTCTGTTCCTGACGAATTAGTATCTGTAGTCAGCCGACTGAATTTGTTGACGAACTCAAACCAGGCGACTTCCGGGTGGTCTTTGGCGAGGAAGCACCTGGTTGTTGCGTTGAAGAGCTGGGTTGATCGATCGCAGGGTGTGATGGTTCGCGCTGTCACATAGTTCTCATTCCGTTGTTCCGCATAGAAGACGCAGTTGTAGTCAATGACTGCATGATGACTGCGACCCAACGCGCAGTCTACAAACAACACATCGATCATTTGCTCCTCATTGCTAAGCACAAGATACAGCACAGATTGTTTTTTACCTATCACCATTGCCGAAATCGATGTAGATAACTTTAACAGACTTCCCCTGCTTCACTGCCTGCAACTCCTCATGCCTCGTCACCAGCAGGTTGGTAATGCATGAGCGACCTAGCGTAATAACAACTGAGTAGTCGCTTGCTGCCAGAAGCTCTAGGCTGTCGCAACGAGGCTGGATCTTAACGTGGTGCGACAGTTTATGAACCTTTTCGACCCATTATGCTATACTGGATAGTGCCCCGGGGCGCCTTGTAGGCTATTCCTACAAGGTTGGTCAGTAATTAGAAGTCATATAAACGCAGTCTCCTGATCCTCCAGGTTAGGGACTTGAAATGCGTTGGCATCCATTTCTGTAAAACTATCACTGCCACTTCCACTGCCTTGCGGGCATTCTTTTATGCCGAAGGCTTTTGTTGAAGACCTTAATCGTCCTTCTGTTTAGAGCTTGGCGCCCTAACCCACGTAAAACCATGACTACTTCCTCAAATTCCCACTACATTTTGCATCGGCATCAGTGTTGTTATTTCACTCACCATGCTCCGATTGCTGGATCACGTGTTGCTCATGCCAGCGCACCGACTCCCACGACGTGCGTTGTTTTCGCACCGGTGGTGTGAATAAAAGAGGAGAAAAGTGGCCAAACGATGACTTGGTCAAGAGGAATGATGGCCCTTGCTTTAAAATTGTCCTCAGTTGGAGCTTCTCGGCTCCCTGGTTGGGGTCCAAAAAACGATAAACACGTTTGGCTGGATAGACTTGCTGACATGGTTCGAGGCCGACCGCATTGGCATCTGTGCTGCAAGTTTCTTTGTCCTTCCCTACCCACCCATGACCTCATTTCCTGGCATGCTATAAATTATGCATAATATAATTCTTTTGTAGCACAATACCGGCTGCCAGCTTTCCGGAACGATGCCCATCCGTTAGGGGTTGCTCAGCTTGCGTGCCTCGGCTGAAGTTTTCTCTTGTGGATTGCGACACAATAGTTGCGCTTTTTCCACCTCTAGCTGAGGCGTACGATAATGTTGATGATTGACTGCCGCGCAGCTTATCAAGAATCGCCTTACCCACTGTATACAGCAGAGCGGATAAGCGAAAACAGCAGCCCCAATGCCACTGCACTCTAGTCATATGCAGCTGTCTTCCCGCAGCACTAACTAGACGGCTATCGACAACACGGACACGTTGTGCCGTTTACCTGTTGTCGTTCAGCGTTCGCATTATGACAAATTGGTCATCAAACAACACGCATGTTGGACACACCGGGTGTGGACATGTGTTGCGTGTAGCGCACTAAGATCAATGACCCTTACGGGGTTGTGAAACTAACCGCGCCCTGCTTGTCCCCTCGCTATTGGTTGCACGCATCCGAGGACATTGATGCGGCAACACTTGGACAAAATGAGGTGGGCATTATTCTCAGCTTCAAACCTGAAAAGAGACCGCGAATCTTGGTGGTCTCATCGTGCGTCAGAGATGGAAGTGACCGCTGCCCTTGGTAACCATCGTAAGTTATTCCGTCTGATACAGGAAACGGGCAGTAGAAGACCTGGTGTTAGTGAAACTATACGTGACGAGAGTGGACAGCCTGTCCACAGTTTGTCAAAACTTTTGGAATGTTGGGCTGAACATTTTCAAAAGCAATTTAATCGGCTAGAATGGTTCGATTCTTCGCCGGCCAGTGATCGCTCTGCTCCGTAGGATCCACCCTCTCGCTCAGAAGACGAACGTGAGATCCGATTGCTGAAGTTGAACAAAGTCGCAGGACCAGATGATCTTCCTCCAGCCCTCTTCAAATTCGGAGGCTCTGCTCTTGTTGATGCTTTACATGAATTACTAGTGAAACTGTGGGAACACGAGACTGTCCCAACCGACTGGAGCCGCTCTGTTATTGTTCCCATCTTCAAAGGACGCTCGCGTTCGGAATGCGGCAACCACAGAGGAATCAGTCTGATCTCCATCGCCTCCAAATTGCTTGCCTCTGTCATCCTTCACAGACTGACTGGCGCTAGTGGAAGCCAGGTTCGTGAGGAGCATGCCGGGTTTCGTCGGGACCGCGGCTGCATCGACTACATCTTCACCTTGCGTCAGTTGTTGGAGCACCGTCACACATATTAGTAGTCAAACTTGTCAGTGTTCCTCGACATCAAAGGTGCCTTCGATTCGGTTGATCGATGGGCCCTTTGAGAACTGTCTACTTAGGAAAGGTGTGCCCGAGAAATATGTAAATATTATCCGAGCATTATACGCGCATAGCTAGGGCAGAGTGGGGGCTTACGGCAAGCTGTCGCCACCCTTCAATATCTCCAGTGGTGTGACACAAGGATGCCCGCTGTCACCTTTCCTCTTCAACTTCGCTATTGACGAAGTCATGGAGAATGCATTTACAGGACATGACTTGGAAGGTGTGGAGCTACTCCCAGGAGAACGACTTCTCGACTTAGAGTATGCAGACGACATTGCCCTCATCTGTGACAGCTCCCAGACGTGCCAAGCCGCGCTGGACAGATTAGCACTGGCTGTCAGCCGCCTTATACTATCGAAGCGCAAAGCTTTCCTCCAAGATTGGCAGGGAGCGCCTCCTGTGCTGACCCTGGGTAGGGATCAGCTAGAAGTCGTACAGAAATTCAACTACCTGGGAAGTTGTATCAGTGCCCTTGGGATCGAAGATGAGATCACGAACCGCATAGCTAATGATCGAGGTGCTTTTGCTATTCTTCGCCACTTGTGGCGCCGGTGTGACATCACTCTTGCCCTGAATGGTAGTGTACAATTCAGC